GCTAATGCAGATAGCCTTCGTGTAGCTTTGCGCGAAATTCAAAAACAAACCTGTCCCAAACTGTCATAAAATTGCTGAATGATGATTTCATGCCAATTACGCAGTTTCATTTCACAATGTATTTGAAAAGTGATCAATTTTGAAGAATGGTTGTTGTTTCTTGTAGTTAAGGCTTTTGAAGGATCAGTTAGTATTCTTGATTTACAACGCTAGAAACCAGGTTTCGATACCCGTGGTGGGCAGAGCACAGATCTCTCTTTGTGTTTAACTACAAACATACTAACAGTGAGAAGGTCAATTATTCGCTTGGAGTATTGTTGTCCCTCCATTTTCAGTAATATTGTGTTTATGTGCGAATCAAATTAAAGTATAATTTCCTCTCACAAGTAAAGCAACAGTGCATGGCAATGTGATTGTACACAGGTCGTTTTTTAAGCTTTTATTTACGCTGGTAATAGCTTTAAAACATTTAATTATTTAAAAATTTCTAAACTTATGTCTGAAGCCATCACAAGAACATCAACTTACTAAAATACCACAAATATAAAACATTTCGAACCTAAGATTAGAATGGTAAAAGTAAATTTTGAAAACCACCATTCCAGATTAAACTATGACGACAACTATTCGGTAGCAACTCTGAGAAATATAACACTATGATATTTTCGAACGTTATCCAACTTGTTAGGATAACTTTATTGTGCTTCAAACTATATTGATTCAGTGATGCTTTTCTTTTAATAGTCACTGTTTTGTCGAAGTTAATTTTTTCTTTTATGATGAGATGACCAGTGGAACAAGTATGTTCAGCAATAGCGAATATATTACATTTCTTTGTATTATGGAGTTCCTTTGTTCTAATATGTAGTAAAATATTTTTTGTATCCTAGCCTACTTGAATATGTTATGCTGTATATGGTGCTAGGTCACAAATTCCAGTTTTCAACAACTTTAAGGCAGCTTATGCGCACTTTAGCCAAATAAATCAATGACCTCTAAGGTTCAGGTATGGCCATCCTTAATTTTGAGCTACAGACCAACCAGCAGTTCCTGCCGATAAAACGGCTTTGAACCAAATAACTGAATCTAATATCACTTTCATATATAACCTTCATAAATTGAAACAGTTTTCAAACCGACTAGAAACATGCTATACTAATGAAAAATAAATAAAGGACAGACTCAGTTTCATGAGTTCCTCCCCATGAGACATCGATAAGTTTATGGACTTACAACGCCAATATCCGGGGTTCTAAAAACAAACAGCTTCGTGATAGTAGGGCTGGGAATACGGTCTAGGAGTTAGTGCGTTGTGTTACAGATGAAAATGTTCAATATTCGAGATGCAATGTCACTGCGCATTTTCATTATAATCCCCAATATTAAATTAATGAACTGCTAGTCTATTTATGGATTACTGCATAGAAGTTAAGGATCTTGGTTACTTCTTCCTTGTAAACAATACCTTGTATTGATTCTTTCCATATTTACAAATTTTGTAGATTCATGGTTAAGTTATTCCAAGACTATTATTTTATCATGCCTGTTTTTGTAACTAAAATATCCAAGAGTTACATTAGTGGGTTTTGCTTACTTAAGTGACTATAAAACTGTTATATACAGTCAAGAGACCATGTTTTCAGATCATACCGGCCTTACATTTATATATCAGTCCTCTTCAAATTTTTTTTAAAGAAAGCTGACATATGATAGAAAAGCCCATTTGAGTGCCGCCTTGTCTTCCAAAATTCAACATTTATGTCATCACTAATAAGTGTTTTAGTGAAAAGTTAAATGTAAAATCTAATAATAAGTTGTTCTCCGTGATCTTGCATTGGGGGGGAGTTTCGTGTGATTTTCGTTACAGATGTTGAAGAACGTCAACAAACGATACGTGTAATAGGACGAAGTAGTAAATCAGTCATATTTTTGGCAGGCTGTATATTTGAAGTTTCGTGCTGTGGCGAAATAAATATAAAGAGTCTCCGGTGGAATACGTACAGGTACATCAGGTTTTATAGCAAATTGAAGGTTCGGATAAAAAACTGCCTTTTTATTTCGAGTGTTGTAGCCTTGCACGTTACATGAGCAAAAATATTCATCTCCGTAGTTTCTAGGCTCACGCCAGACCATTGGAATTCCAAAAGGCAGACTTTTTTTCTTACCTATAATCCATTGTCTCAACGCTTCGACACAAACTTCTTGCGGAGCCCATGATTTGACTTGGTCCCAAATTTTATTCCAAAATACGCGTAATACGTTTTTTTTGGACGAATTCTGTAATGTTTTGCCTTTGTTTCTTTACCACAAATATATATTTCGGTTATTTACAAAACCTCTCATTGCCATAGCGACGAATAAGTAATACTGAAAAAATAATAATCTCAAAGTGCACGCACAAACAAATACTATCTAGAAATTTACTGTACAGGAATTTTCAGTAGAACATGTAAAAATTTCAAGACAATAAAACCATGGCAGGCCTGTGTAATGAGTGATAAATGGATCGCCAATGTTTCTTAATATTTTTAAGGTTTGCAGTGATAATAATTCAAGTTCAAATGAGGTGGTTTTTATATTTACAAAGAGTGTGATTCTTTTTTTTTGTGTGTGTGAGATTCTATCTTTTTTGTCTTGTCCTGAACGTGAAAAGTTGTAGCTTCTGCACTTTCTATGACATCAATATATTGAACTTGTTTCAGTGCCAAGAAAAATAAACAAAATTGTCTCAATGAGATTCAATTAGTTATTTTTCACTATGTCTACTACGTTCTTTTTACAATCTAAATCACGATTCCTGTTTAAGAAACCTATCAAATTTCTTCATAAAATTCTCATGTTTTGACTAATCTGCACAGATCCAAGATTTTACCGAAAGATTAGCCTTTAACCAATGGAATGAAGTTGTCAAAACACTTTATTGTTGTTCAAACAGAGAAGCCAACCATCTGATTTAACTATAACTTAATAACTGTTAACATTAACTGTTTACCAGTGGCTATTATCATGCCATTTTTTCAATATACATTTGTTACTATGAATATTACTTTTTTTTTCCAAAATGAAAATTTGGTTTAATTTGACTTATTCATACTCTGCAAACAAATTCGTAGTATATTTTCATACTGAAGTTTTGGTAGTTAATCTTTTGGTTCAGTTTTACCTGAAGTTATGACGTGTGTATCAACAATATACTATGTATACAACATAATAATTTACTAAAATGAAATTAAAACATTATCACTAGTTGTGGAAGGGGGAAGATATATCAATGTCGTTTTGAATTATATTTGCTTTAGCATTACAGGGATATCTGAAATACTAAAGCCACAGTTACGCAATAAAAACACAACTATTAGCGTCAGAAAACGTTTTTAATAACACAATATTTGACACAAAAGTACCTGACATTGTTAGTTTGAAACATAATATTTTCTTGAAATTATTGGTTGTTTTTACTACATACTGAATCCTGCAAGACAGAGTAACTAATGAATGGCTCAGTACGTCTTTTCAGAGTAGGATTTTAGTTTCTGATTATTGCATCTTTCTGTTCCCTTTCTCCAAGTTTTGAAATCAATCTATTATTTCTGACTTTTCTGGAATAGTAACAATGTGTATATTGGGGTCGCAAAGCCTATAATAAAAGACATAGTACAGAGAAATATTCCGAATATTGGAATCAACAATGCCTATTTACAATCTTTACAAAAATAGCTATACAACTTTAAAATTCATTTTAGAGGTTAGTGTTTCAAGATATTTGATTTTGATATTTTATGCCAACAATCTTGTGATAAAAGAACAGATAAGTGTAAACTGTTTATATAAAATAGTTTTATAAAGTGATCTACATGATAGAAAACATCGTCTAAACAAATAATAACATTTCAAATTTATATTTTTTATCAGAATACTTTATTGTCATTAAGTCTGTGCAGATATGAAACATAAAACTACTTGCCTGAGTTCAGGTTATCTTTTTTGACTAAGGTTAGTTATTTCAAGGTCAGTCAAGTCTAAAACTAAACAAGTGACATTTCGCCAGGGTAACCATAATGAATTGTTTGAATTAAAAGGATAATCTTGTGATGATGTTATTACAATGAAACGTTTTACTTATGCTTGCACTTTGGTAGTGTTTACACATTTCTTCTTTGTCACAGCTGAAAATATTGTTAATCCAAATGATGAAACAATGAATTCTAATCTTTATAGGAAAGAATCACTTTCATATTTGCTTCTAATCCTCTATGTGTATTACATCGACTCTTGAAGTTAGGGGGAAGTACAAAATAGGCCTGATTGATAGAACTCTCCTAATTTAATAATGCAATGTACATGGAGTAGTGAGTCTACCTCTTTTTAAAAGTTCTATGGTAACTACATGTTGTATACTCACACATAGTTTCATATTTAAAAAAACGCCACTGCAGCTAAGGTCCACAGAAAAGAAGCTTGTGGGATGACCTAAGTAAAACCTATAAAACATGCAATGTGTATATATATATATATATATATAAATATTATATCTGCTTGCTTGTGATAATTTCAACAGACAATTTTAAAATTATTGTCTTACCTCTCTGGTTTGTCAGACTAGTTGTATTTAATCTTTGCCAAAACAATCTTTTGTTAAAAATAACTTTCACATTTAATTTTGATTAATCCAGTAATCACATTCTAAACAATATGAAACACACTCTCAGCAATCAATATCCAATTGTAAGTCACTGAACCTTTCTTTTTATCCATCATTTTTCAGAAACTAATATAGTGACTAATAACCGAGTTGAAAATTATTTTGTTTCTTTAAGAAACAATTAAAAAAAATGTGGGTTCTCAATGTTTTACATCAGGTGTGGGAAAAGATAAGACACAAAATGTATAAAATAAAAATGAAACAGAGTATATCTATTACAGTAATAAACAAAATAACTACTTAAAAATAATGAGGGAATCCTCAATAGTTGTGGCACTTGAAATTCTTTTAGGCAGGATTAGAAAAAATTAATCTACAAGAAGTTTTTTACCTTTTTATTAGCTATATTTTTGTGTGACAGCAAAACCAAGCATGGGGCATGAGTAAACCTAATTCAATTTTATCACTGATCAGGATATCTACCAGCCTTCCCTCAAATTGGAATTCATTTAGGGAGGATTAGAGTTAATTATTTTATGAGACCTTGGGGAAGGTCAAATATACCAATCAAAAGAGTTGGACTTCTCCAGTCCAAAACTGTAATTAGATCTCAAATTGGTCAAGAGATGACAGAGCTATGAACTAAAAGTTCGGACTTGAAAAACAAACAAACTCAGAGCTATTCCACGAGCCATTGTGTTGTGGCTAAAAATTAGTTGAGAAAGAAAGCCCGAAAGTATTCTATACATGTAATATTCTTCTAAAAAATATACTATGCTAGATAAAATCATGTTATCTCAACAATAATGTATATGTTACTGTAAACAAAATTTTTAAAGGACTCCCAAAAATATTTTCGTTTTGTAAAGCATAATCTCATGTCCTATTTCACTTTGTCTGTTAATTCTGAAAAAACTACTTGGGCTGTCTTTTCGTTTTTTGCTGTACACAACAGAAATGAAAAAAAAAAAGGAATGCTTTCAGTATTTTATGAACTTAATATGTCACTTCAATTTTTCAAATTATACTTATTGTCACTTACAATATTATATCTGTTTATCTTAACACCATAAATGCATTAGTAGTATATTGTTTTTAAATAACTTCAGTTCTGTCACACTTGGAGAAAAGAAAGCCCGTCAGCATTGTGGCAAACACATGCAGTTCTCAAAATCAGCAAAATTATACATCAAAGCTGTGGAATTTTAAGATAAATGAGGTGTACAATGGGGAAAAAAACTGCATTGTAAGAAAAACAATTCAAGTTTTTCCCATTAGTTTAATATGTAACATACAAACTCTCTCTCTTTACATTCATTTTGAACACTCTTGTCAATTTGTATACATGATTTTGCCACATTACATTTACATTGCTTGAGAAAAGGGCAAGAAAAAAGTAGGTAGGTAACATTACAAATTTTGTTTCCATTTCTAAGTTCTAATTTATATTCTAATATTTTGTGTGGCCTGCTAATAATTCCTTGTTTAGTAGCTTTTACACTATATTAATTTAATTAATAATACATTTGTTTTAATCAAAATGTGATTCAAGACCAGAACTAACACAAACTATGTCAAACCACGAGTATTTTCGTTTTGGATTATTGCATCTTTTAGTATAGAAGTTTTTACCTTAAATGTACAATAGTTTCACATATTCTAGGTAAATCTTTGTACAGAGCAAACAGAAAAGATGAGTTCAGTTTTGTTATTTGAAAAATGAAGAATACCAGTCTTTGAAAACAAAGTTGTTAGAAGTCTTTCATTTCATTTTGCTAGCATTAAACAATATGATTTTTTTCTTCACAAGTACTGTTTGATGTTGACTTTCTGTAAAAGTTGAATATCATATGGGCAGAAGATGACAAACTTGGAAAGCTGCCTATAATTTTATGACTTCATGAAAAATATCTAATCAATATAAAACTTAATGCAGATTTTTTTTCTCTTAGTGAGAACACTTGTGTTAAGTACATCTTTAAGTGAAAGAATCTCTTCAGAGTAGACGATAAAACTTGTCATGGTGTTGTCTTGATTAATGCACCTTCAGCAGCATCTTCTTTTTCTTTTGCCATGGACTTAATGTCCTAATTTTTTAGGACTGCATATTAAATAATTTCATATGTATAACTTACTCAATAGTACTACCAGTTTGTATTAAAAAAAAAAACTATGAGATGTAAAAAGTTACTACATTATACTTAATCCTAAGCTTGTATTTAGCAATCATTTCAAACAAACCCTGTATATTTGTTTTTCCAATTTCATTCATGTCCTACTATGATGTAAAAATGCATATAAATGATTCTCTGGATAAGTTTGCCTGGTGATGCAAAATAAAACAAATGATTGCAAAAATTCATGAAACTGCACACGTAACTAAACAATCTTTTAGTTTAGTCTTATCTAAATAATCTTTTAATAATTTTTAATAGTATATATATGAGAATTTATCACAGTAATAGGATTTTAGAGTAGATGGTTTATCTGTTTTATAGTAATTTAACAGGTACAGGTATTTAATTTCCAGTTTTATACAAAGGAGAACTGTCATTGTAAGATTTTTTTCACATTGAATTACATCCACCAAGCTTGTTATAACTGTTTCATACATAAGATTTTTGAAGTACTGTATAAATACGATATTAGGAATAAAGGTCACCTTAACTCACTACAACTACTTGCACAAGTAAAGTTTAGCAAGATGATTTCCTGAACTTCTCTTACCAAATCATGTTGGTAAATATGCAAAGTGGACAGTGTGATTCAGGATACATGTCAGCAAGATGTTGCCCCTATCCATAATGAGCAAACCAATACAACTGACTTGGATACCTCAATCAATAATTTCAATCAATCTCCAGACCAGTTACCTAGCTGTATTTAAAAATGAAAAAGAAAAACCACAGAGAAAGTGATTTCTATCATTTCTGATTGTTCTCTTGAAAAATATAAATTAGATATTCAGCTTTGCAATAAAACAGCAAATTAGTGCATTACATGCAAAAATTAATTTCATACATTGATAAAACTGTTTGGATGATCAATATATTTTGTATGAAACCCATCCATTACAAGTTATTGGCAATTAACATGATTAAAACCAACATCTGACAATATGGTCACAGAGTTAACCATACATTCATGATTTCCTAAATATAAGGTGCATTTTCTCCTTTACTTCAGAAAATAACTTTAATCTTGGACTGAATCTGGTCATAAGACAGATAAATTGATCAAATCATAGCATGCAAGTAAACATATATGGTTAAGAAACAGTTTTGCTAAATTACCAAAATATTTCTAAATAGGTCAGACATAAAATATAAATTTCAGAAATGTTTTATTTTATTCATTTATTTACTTTTTTTTTTTTTAGTTACAATTTTTCTATAAAATCCAAAGGAGGTCATATTAGATCTAGCATACAATATGAGCATCATTTTGTTATTTTTTATGGCTATACAATTGAAATAAATATATAAAATGCCATACTTTCCAGAGATAAAGTGCAAAAAAATATTTCATGCATCTGAAAAGGCCATCAAGATGATATAAACTTGAATAGCACCAAAACAGCTGGTGTAAAAGATGAGGCTTAATAATTAAGAATATTATTACTCTGGAACTGTTATTCATAGGATACTTATGTAAACAAAAAGTAAATATCAGAAAGTTTTGTTGAATGTAAGAGCTTAACATAGTATTTAACATGTCTACTAGCTAAATTTTATTATGTATGCTGGTACTACTCCTTTAATTAGGCATAAGATTAAACATATTATTGAGGCTTAAGCTGTAATATAAAACTAACACTTGAATCTTCAATTTCATAAGGCTTGACTTGTAATCAATATGAAGTTGTAGGTTGATAATACAAAAAGGAAATTAGACTAAAACCAATTTTGTATTTTTAGTGAAAAATAAAAAATCCATGTAAAAAATAAAAAAAAATGTCTCTGCATGACATAAAAATCAAAGTACAGTTTAAAATTAGTGACAAAATAGCAGAACAATGTTAAGTCTATGTATTTTGCCTTAAGAGAACCATTATACTTATTAATTAAACAAACTTATGCTAAAGGGCTCATTAATAAAAACTGGTTATATACACACAGTACAAAAGTAACTTGTTTTGCAAGAACACAAGTTGGTCCAAGAAAATAAGCTTAGCTTACATGTAGATTTTTTTAACATACAAACAGATATTCACATTTTTAGATTCCTTCCCACAGGTCACCTTCAAGAAATGTTGGCTGAGAAAGATAAAAGCACCACAGAAATGTTAACAGTTATAAATACTCCATCAGTAAAGTATAAATAGGGAAAATAATGAAATGAGAAGACCAGCTACTCTAACTTACTACTGTTTAACACTTTTGAGAAAAAAATATGCAGTTCATAATAGGTGCTGGAAATCAAGGTTACTTTGGAACACTAAATTAGTATAAGAAGCCTTGTGTAATGACTGTCTTAATATTAACTACACAATGTGTTGTCCATGTAAAAACTAGCTTGGCACAGGAATAGAGAAAACCAGCTGGTGGAAGCCAACTTTCAAACTAGGGCACAACATTTATACAATCGGGAGTAATATCGTTGTCTTCTGATGAAATGAAGTGATAATATTAATAATATTACTATATAAAGCATTATTAAATGTAATGAGCCCTAAGAAGAAACAGAGTTGTCAGTGGGAGATTCTCACAAGCCTAGTATACGGAATGTTAATCAGCTCCGGCACATTATTTACAAAGCAATGTCACTAAAGAAATAATTATAGTACTGGGCACTTGCAACTCTACACATCACAGAACTTAGTTGATCTTGGCACTTGGCAGGTTGTAACCTAACTGTTGATTGTTGTTACAGCATGTCTTTTTTGGGGGGCATTCCTTTCTTTCCCTGCCAGATGCTGTTATGTAATGTCACTGCATCAATGGTCACAGTAAGGTGTTTTGTGTGTACTTTAGTAAAGCACTTTCCTCCTGAGTTGTACCTAGAATTAAGAATAAATATTTTGCTAACTTTGCATAATACATTTTATCTCAGAATTTGTTTAACTTGATTAATCAAATCTGTTACATTTTATTCTCACCCAAAATTCTTTTGAATAAAAACATTTGATAATAAATATGGTGTCTGAAAAATTAATTAATTACTAAACAAGTATATCACAAAACTTGGTCTTAGTGTGAAAAAAGTATATCGGTGATTGAAACAAAACTTCATCTTCACTAATCAGCTTAGTTTCTACTTAAATGAAAACAAGAATTGAAGAAAACATTAAAATGACTAAAGTTTTTTAAACTTTCATTCAAAAAATTCTAAGCTTTAAAATTAGCCCTAATTTACTTAAACAGTAAAACAGAAATAAGAAATAATGTTAGAGAGAACCTTGGGAAAAGTATCTTATAAATAACTTGTAAGATGAAACAAGTACCTGTGATAAATATTTTTTTTATTTATATCTTTATGATATTTTAACATCCATTTACTTTACTTTTAGTAATTTTTATTGTAAAAGCACAAAATGAAATTATCATATGGGCAACAATGTTATCACAGAAGTAGAAAATTATATTAAAACATTTCTGATGTGTGTACTATATACTTAAGCTCACAAACACACTTAAAACTCTGAAAGCTTGTATTATCAGATTCACACAGAATATTTTTGTAACAGAGTTTAGAAAATGATCTGAACATGTATCTGTAAGAGAATAAATTATGATGAAAAAAATGATTGAACGCATAATACAAATATATTCCTACTTGTAGAACCCATTCATCATGGGGTCACCGAGGACTTTAGGCCCAGTTCCATAAAGTTTAAAGATGTCTTCTCTTTCAGGGTTGTAAGAGTAGATAGCTCGAAACTGGCAACCAGAATCTCTGAACAGGATCAAAAAATGTTTGCTGTTGGAAATATTGATGGCCTGAAATCAGACAAAAGCAGGATTACAATAGTAGTCCAAAAAAAGAAAAAAAATTAAGTTCTTTAAAGCCTTAAATTATTTTTTAAATGTCATGAGCTTTCTTTATATATAAATAAAGATAAAGATTGTTTAAACAAATCATGAGAGGGTTCCACAAGTAGGGGTTATGACTTTTTTGATGCTCTTGGTTTTACTGAGCCAACTTACCTGAACTTTAGACTTAGAATGTAACAACCATTCAAAACAATAATCTAAGTTCAGGTTTTGAAAACTTTCAAAGTTAAGTCTCCATGTGGGCTATGATAATTAGCTGTATTGATTTTCAAGAAAATGTACAAAATATGTAAAGGGTCATTCAAAGAAACATTTGCAAACATTTTACAGTTATTTTATGCACATTTTCATGGTAAATTGCCAGTATATATATAAAATAATGTAGATTTATATTGCAAAAAAGTTCACACAAAATTACGAAGCATACTGACAAATAATTACATGAACTGTACTTTCCCAAACAGTGTTTATATACACATATATGTAGTAATCCTGAAATGTATTTGGTACTTATCTATGTTTACTTAACTAATAAACTCCTCCCACACATTTTGACAAAACAACTTTACATTTTACAACCAGGTTCTTAACCCTGCAGAATATAAACTAGAATAGAATTTTTTGGGGGCAGAACTGCAAGGGAACTTTAAAATGGAGATCCTGGAATATTTATGGCTGAACAAATTTCTTTAAAAAACTGTTATGAACATGCAAGAAGCCATTCAAAACAATGGGGGTCAAAGAAATTTTGTCAGCTCTCACGTAGGATCAAAGGTTTTATGTTAAAACTGTCAAAAACATGTAGAAGATCATTCAAAATAAGCATCAATCTTTAGATTTTTAAAACCTTCTCAATGCAGCTACTTAATGGTGGGCCAAGGGTGATTTTAGGGATTCCAGGTTTAGCTACAAGAATTTTCATGAAATTGCTAAGATCACATGAATTGCCAATCAAAATAAGATTTGCAGTTTTCTGCTGTTTGCCATTTCCTGTGAATTTTTATGGAGAATTTAGTAGCACATTATATAGTGATTTTCTTCTTAGATAAAACCTTGTTGCAGAAGAAAAACTACTATATCTTACCATCATAATTAATAAGAAAAATATATTATTATTTAGGTAAATTTTCATAAATTTTGGGCAGGTTTCCTGCATTTATTTAGTTGATGTATTCTTAAACAGAATATGAAAGCCTCTTGTAGTCTGGTTGCTCTAGGAATCAAAAGGTAGTTAAGCAGGTTGACTGATGAGAAGAGCATAATCTCAACTCAACTGATGAAACACTAATGGAAAAACAGTTAACATTGTAAGTTGAAAGAAAAATCAACAAGTGAAACTCTTTGCCTTCTTTCCTATTATGTGCTTGTTCATGTTAGGATGTCTACAGGGCTCTGTGTGATATCACTTGATTTATAGTACAATTTTGACAGCTAGAAGACAACTGAGACTAGTGTTTACACCAGGTACCTATCAATTACTTGCTGTTAAAGATGAATAGAAACTGAAAGACTTGTTAGCCTAGGTTTGGACTGCCAATATTTGTGGTTTTGTAAATTTGTAAAGCTAAAGTCACGGGGAATGAGATTAAATGATTGTATAAAAACATTACATAAAAGTTTAAAACTAACAAAAACCTTCAACAAAAAATCATGAAACTGAAGTGAAGCATCTGTATTTACAGTATAGGCTTAGCCTAGCTCATGCTAGGTTAGTTAAACTAGGCCTACTGCTTGCTGTTGTCTGCCATATAAAAAAAAAAATCAGCAAAGGTGAGAACTGGAGAACATATTAAAGTAGAAAATGTCTGCCCATTACCTAAAGATGTCAAGGGAATGCTTTGAAAATTCATACAGTTGTGTGGAGTAACATCTTGCATATAGATTATTTTGTTCAAACTCCCTTTACCTGAAGATTAGGAAAGACCAAATTATCCAACATGGATAGGTAGTAATCAATATGTAAAGTCTGATATTTATGAGTTCCTAAAAGCAAATAGGTCTAGTGATGAACATGCTCATGAATACAGCCCATACAGATTGCTTGTTCCCAGATGACAAAAGTTGTAAATGTTGCCCAGACTACACGTTGAAAAGTGAAGTTCATCATTCCAGAAAATGTTGCTTGACCAAGTTTCATAAATTTTCATTCGAAGCAGGAATTACAGTACAATATCTTGACATTCACATTCCTCTCCTGGTAGCAATTCATGGATGATCTGTATACTGTTGAGGTACAGTCTAAAGCCTCAATGTCTTACACTTGACTTTCCAAACTGTTGATTGTAGGAGCCCAGTGCACTTGTGAACTTGGTTACTACTATTGTAGCAGTGTTACAACCATTGTTGTAGTAATGCTTTAAGGAAACAATTTTAATGTTCAACGTCAAGTTTTATGTATGTATCGGCCGGGTTCTTTATAGTAAGTGTTTATGACTTGTTGGCAATAAATTTCACAATAAACAAACAGCATACAATCCACTTGTTTAAAATAATATATTAAAACAAGTCAAACATACATACAAATGTTGTCACACAGTTGAATTCAGTCTTAAATAATTGTCTTTTTATCAAATGTCCAAACAGGCTGGTTCAGTTACTTTAGAACCCAACTGAAAAAAGGAATTATTCTTCTCTACTCTGTTATTACAATACAAGGCTGTGATACTCACTTTAAAATCACCACTATAACTGTTGGTTACCACAGTTGTATCAAGAGCTTTAAATAATTGTCTCCTTTTCAACCAAATCCACAGATTCAATTACTTCAGAACACCCTTTGGCAAGACAAGTTATTCTCCTCTTTTTCTGTTATTACAATACAAGCTGTGAAAACGCCTGTTACAGCTACTCACATGTAGTCTAACTTCCCTTTTATTTTCAATAACTTACTTACTTGCACTAACTTGATTGCCTAAATATATATATATATATATTTCCCAACTGAGGCCTAGAACTTTCTACAAACTACAAGACACTATGATGTAACAATACTCACTTAAAGCAATGAGAAAAATTCAGAAGGTTTGAGTGATATGACAGCAATTCACAACAGTAGAACTATGCAACAAATGATTCATAAACAGTTATGTAAGCAAATTAGTCACAACTATTTCTTCTAAAATTAACTTACTTTAGTGTCTGCACTATATAAACTAAATAATACTTTGTATTAAACTTAGAATGAACAGTCATGTATACCTAACATTCAAAGATAATCTGTTTTATAATATAAGCAATTTATAAAGGTTGAATGAATTGTGACACATATGATGCTGATTTTAAACAGTCAAAATCAGTGTTCATTGACAAAAGTAATTTTTGACACACGATTTGCTTTTCACTATAACTGTCTCCCACTGGTGGCATTTATACAATAGATGTAAAATTAATTACATGTGTATGTCACAGCACAATTATTAAATATAGGAATTTAACACTATTTAACCATATGGTTACAGTTTGTAGCCATTTGGCTTAATTCTTGGATGGAGAATGATACACAGTTAAACAATATTTAACACTCTCCACATGGGTCACAGGCCATGTCATCACGTTTGTTGAATTGCAATCAAAATTTTATTGAACTACTATTTTATGAAGTTATGTCAATATATTTGGTATCAAACTGTAAATTATAATTCACATTTTAGTATTATGCATTATATAATTTCTTAATTTAAATGTAAATATTAAAAAACACACCTAAACATAACATTTTGTGTGTCAAGTGGTATGTTGAAAGCAGCACTGGTTCAAATTAGATGTTTGTGATGTCAAAATACAAAGTCTATACTTTTTGTACAAATTAGGCACTCAATTTACCAATATTAACAAGCTTGAATATAAAATAAGATCCTCCTATATTTTCTATTTGCTGAGATATCACTCATGTACTGAATCAAGCACAGTGGCCAGGCTCACCTCTTTCCATTTTTGGAAACGCTCCCTTATATACACTTACTTCTGTCTATGACATGGGAATAACCAATCGAAAGCACAGAATATCCCCCTAGTGGCTTTCTCAGCCATTTTCAAGTATTACAACGTCATGTCCTTCTTTCCATACAAATCTTCAAGCTGGTGAGTCTTTAGTCTGCTTGAAATTTCATATTTTTTTTAGACCCAAATACAGCTTAGTTACAGCTAAACTTAAAATGGAATTCAATTGTATTGATATAGTAATATATGATTTTTTTGGTTATTTCAAATGTACATATAAAATCTAAAAAAATTATTTCATTTCACATTCTCCATGTGCGAAATTTCATAAGGTTTAGCAACCTATGACAAGCAGCAAATAAGTACAAAGGTTGTAACAAGAAGAGATAATTGTTTACTTTACTTCTTTAATTGCTGTTCTATGTTTAAGAAAAATAAGTTTAAAACTTATTTGTAAATAGCAATAATGTATATACAAATAAAATGTATAATAATTGAAATGTGACTGTATTTTACCAAATACTAGTCCACTAAAACACAGCCAAGACAGGTCACTTTTTAAAGAATAAAGGTCAGTTATACATTATTGGATACAGTAACATGAGTGAAAGTGCACCGCATCATTTTATCTTCTGTATTGTTAGCCAGGTATGGCTGAAGGGGCAATATAATAAAAATAATAAATATATATATAAATGTATAATGTTATGAGATTTAAGCTATTTAGTCTAAACATTTGTGTTATAGTTTGTTGTCATTCT